TAGATGAGAGATTCAATTCATGTCTTAAATGTAGCAAATGAAAGAAAAATAACTGCTAAAATAAATTAAGGGAAGCCATGGACTAGTCCAGGATTTCTATGCTCAGCACTACTGACATTTTGGGCCAGATACTTCTTTGTTGCGGAGGACTGTGCTGTTGAATTGTAGGGTTTAGCAGCATCTCTAGCCTCAAGATACTAGATGCCATTAACACCTCTCCTCCCAATATGACAACCCAAAAATGTCTCCAGAAGTTGCCAAATGTCCTTTAGGGGACAAAAATTCCCCTGATTGAGAAACACTAGATGACAATATAGGTCAAGGGAATTCAGCCAAAGTCAGAGTTCACGAGCTCTAAAACAATCCAAGAGAGGCTCAGCACTTGGAAGTATCAAGCGCGAAAGAGAAGTGGGCCTAAAAAGAAAGAGATTACACAAGCCAGTCAAATTCATAGACACCAGTAAAAACCAGTAAGAAAATGTACTTCTAAAAGATAGCAATTAACAATGACCAAAAAAAGTACCTAGGACTAAATCTAAAGATGATTAAGACTTTAAGGAAACCAATTTAAAGTTTTATCAAAATACATCAAATAAATTCTAAATAAATGAATATGCCAATTATTTCTACACAGTCCTCTAGGTTTGAAACAAGTTAAATCAAAGTCTCAATAAGAAAGTGTGTGTGAGCTGGGCGTGGTGGCTCACGCCTGTAATCCTAGCACTCTGGGAGGCTGAGGCGGGTGGATTGCTTGAGGTCAGGAGTTCAAAACCAGCCTGGGTGAGACCCTGTCTCTACTAAAAATAGAAAGAAATTAATTGACCAACTAAAAATATATAGAGAAAAAATTAGCCGGGCATGGTAGCACATGCCTGTAGTCCCAGCTACTTGGGAGGCTGAGGCAAGAAGATCTTGAGCCTAGGAGATTGAGGTTGCTGTGAGCTAGCGCGGATCATGGCACCTGCACTGTACGCCTGGGCCAACAAGTGAACTCGTTCAACCAAAAAAATAGAAAGAGAAAGAAAGAAAGAAGAAAGAAGAAAAGAAAAAGAAGAAGAAAGAAGAAGAAGAAAGAGAAGAAGAAAGAAGAAAGAACAAAGAAAGAAAAAGAAAGAAAAGAAAGAAGAAGAGAGAGAGAGAGAGAGAGAGAGAGAAAGAAAGAAAGAAAGAAAGAAAGAAAGAAAGAAAGAAAGAAAGAAAGAAAGAAAGAAAGAAAGAAAGAAAGAAAGAAAGAAGGAAGGTATGTGTGTGCATATGACTTGATATGGAGAAGCAAAGGACCAAAATTAGTCAAGATATACCTGAAGAAAATGATGATAATCGCAAGTGTACTGGGTTGAGTGGTGGCTCCCCCTAAAGCTATACCTAAGACCAGAAAAGTGTAAATATGATCTTACTTGAAAAAGGATCTTTGCAGATGTAACTAAGTATCATGTATTATCTAGGAAAGCCCTGAATCCAGTGACAAGGGTCATTGATTGGAAAAACAATAGAAGAGAGAGCCATGCGAAGATGGAGACAGAGACTGGTTATGCAGCAATAACCAGACATATGACTTATGCAACCATAAGTCAAGGAATGCCCAGAGCCACTAGAAGTTGTAATAGGCAATGAAGGATCCTACCCAAAAGCCCCCCAAGGGAGCTAGCCCTGCTGACACTTTGATTTCATATTTCTGTCCCCCAGAACTGTTAGAGAATAAGTTTCTACTGTTTTAAGCTACTTAGTTTTGTGGTAATTTGCTATGGCAGCCATAGGAAACTAATACAAGTACCAACATTTATTGCAAAATTATGGAGGTTAAAGCATTATGTATCGTCACAATGAAAAACTAGCTGAGCAATGAAAGAGATTAGCCCAGAAACATCCTGATTCATATATGAAAACATGATTTGTGGCAGAGGCAGAATGGTAGATCAGCATTTTTTCATATGCTCTTTGGCCATTTGCCTATCTTCTTTTGAAAAGTTTCTGTTCATGTCCTTTACCCACTTTTTAATAGGGTTGTTTGATTTTTTCTTACTGATTTACTGAGTTCTATATAGATTCTAGATGTCAGCCCTTTATCAGATGTATAGTATGCAAACATTTTCTCCCATTCTGTAGGTTGTCTGTTCATTCTAGTGATAGTTTCTGCAGAAGCTTTTTAATTTGATCAGGTCCCATTTATTTATTTTTGTTGATGCTATGATTGCTTTTACAGACTTCAAAAATTCTTTGCCTGGGCTGTTGTCTGTAAGAAGTTTTCCAACATTTTCTCCTAAAATTCTTATGGTTTCATGCCTTAAGTTTAAGTCTGTTATCCATCATGAGTTGATTTTTGTAAGAGGTGAGAGATGCAGATCCTGTTTCAGTCTTCTACATGTGGCTATTCAATTTTCCAAGTACTATTTATTGAATAGGGATTCTTTTCCCCAGTATATATGTTTTTGTCTGCTTTGTCAAAAGATTAGATGGCCATATGAGGATGGTTTTATATCTGGGTTCTCAGTCCTGTTCCATTGGTCTATGTCACTGTTCTTTGTGCCAAGAGACTTTTGAGCCGCCACAACTCCCTGGTGGAAGCATGCCCCTGGCAGAAACCTCTGTGGATAGAGAAACCTACCTTCCTCACTTTGGGGTCTAGTAGTGTAAAAGGGGTGAGTAATTGGAGATCCCCCTACCCACCAATGTCACAGAGAGACACATGCCAGCAGGTCAGACACGTGAACTGTGGGGTAGCTCAAGAGCTGGTCTTAGGTGGAGAGGGAATGCACATGGACTGATCAGAGGGGAAAATGCTGTGGAGTTCCAGGGAACAAGTAGTCAGGGTGCATACCCTACCCCCCAGAGAAACTGGGCTAGTGGACAGGGATGGAAAAAGCCTGGCTAGGGGCCTTAGCAATCACATGATTAGCCCCTCCTATCAGTAGCAGCTCTCTGGGCTTGGAGAGATAGCCCTGAACTCCATACCAGCGGCTCCCCATAGCAGCTGGGTAAGTCACCTCTGAGCCCCTTGGGGGTTCAGCAAAGCTCCTCATTCAGTCTCTTGCATCCTAGCCATAATCTATCTTGCTCCTTTCCCACCTCAGGAGGTATAGGGAGGGAGCTACCCCTGGAAGCTACAGGGTCCCTCCCAAAGCTTGGGGCATTTGTATACCCCACTTAGGAGACCAGAGCCTACCACAGGCACAAAATATTACCTCGGCAACTGGCTCCTCCACACAAACTACAATCAATAACAGCAGAAACAACCCCACAGGTAAACATAGTGACTTCCATCTCAAGCTATTAGGGAATACTAGATTCACATCCACAAGTACAATCCACCAGCTCAGAGATTAAGCTCGGGACCAAATTCACTGCACTCTACTGGGAAGAGGAGAAGACAACAAGTCAGAGGTAATCCAAGAGATGCATCTAACCTCTAAAACATCCCAAAGGTAACTGAGGACCAGCACTCCTCTCCCCAACACTGTCTGGAATCGATCTTTGGGGACTCGGAGATAGGGACATAAAGCAGTCCTATCACCCTTAGTTCTTGACCAAGAGGCCAGATGAGAAAGAATCAACAACAGAACTCCAGAAACATGAAAAATCACAGCCAAAAATCATCCCCAAAAGAAATCAGTAACTCCTCACCAATGGATACCAACCTAAATGAAATGGTTAAAAATGACAGATGAAGAATTTCAAATATGGGCTGTAAGAAAGCTCAATGAAATACAAGAGAAAATAGAAATCCAACACAAAGAAGCTACAAAAACAATACGGGAAATTAATGAAAAATGCTCTAAAGAAATCAAACTGTTAAAGAAAAACCAAACAGAAATTCTGGAAATGAAAAATTCATTCAAGGAATTTACATAACACAGTAGAAAGCCTTAAGAATAGAAACATCTTTTAATTAAAAAAGATAGTGCCGGCCAGGCATGGCGGCTCACGCCTGTAATCCTAGCACTCTGGGAGGCTGAGGCAGGTGGATGGCTAAAGGTCAGGAGTTTGAAACCAGCTGAGTGAGACCCCGTCTCTACCAAAATTAGAAAGAAATTAATTGACCAACTAAAAATATATATACAAAAAATTAGCCAGGCATGGTGGCGCATGCCTGTAGTCCCATGGTCCCAGCTACTTGGGAGGCTGAGGCAGGAGGATTGCTTGAGCCCAGGAGTTTGAGGTTGCTGTGAGGAAGGCTGACACTGTGGCACTCACTCCTGGGCAACAAAGTGAGACTCTGTCTCAAAAAAATAAAAAATAAAAAAGATAGTGCCTATAGCTAATCATAAAGAATCATATTAATACAGTGTCCTTTCTATTCAGCCGTTAATTCTTTGTTTCAGAATAGTGTTCATAAACTTAAAGGACTAAAATCTTGGCTAATATACTGGGATTTGCTAAACAAATCTATGGTGTCCATAACCATGCTTTTCATGGGAGAAAAAATGGAAAACTACTTTATTTGACTTTCTGCCTGATAGCTTAGGATTTAGGCCATGCAATATAATTAAAAAATTAGATATGCCTTAATAAATACATAAACTATCAAGGGAAACCAAAATATTTTAGGGCATAACTAAATTTAAGGTTGATATCAAGAATTATAGACACATCACATCTGTTTATACAATCTGATCCTTAAGTGCTTTCAAAAACAAAATATACAAAATGATAAGGTGAGTGTGGCAATTCTATATTCATACGTTAAAGAAGGTTAAAAAAAATGAACCAAGAAAGATAAAATGAAGAGTTAAAAATAGGGAAAACATTTGTTTCAACCAACAATTTTCTTAGGAGCTAGCTGCCTACTCTAATCTACTATGTACATGTTATGGTGTACAATATTATTGTATATATTTAACATATATTAAGTCACTTAATCCTCACAATTGTATGACCTAGATACCATATCATCTTCATTGTACAGAAGAAGAAATTGAGGCACAGAGACTATTTTCCTATAATACATTCAAAGTGAGGCAGAAAGACGCATTCATAAACATTTAAAATTCTGTTGAGCTCACCATTCTCTCAATCTGACGACTTCTTTCTGTAAACTCCCTTGAGGATTTCACTCCATAATTTTCTTTGTATTTGATATTTGTGACTTTAAAAGAGCCAAGATAATAGAATGACCTATCATCTGAAAGGTAAAATAAGCAAAAAATTCATGGTTAAAGGTAATCAGTTCCTGTCCCTCCACTTCTTCTCTACTCCCACTAAATAGGCTACTATAATACAGTTTATTTCTACATAGTGCAAAAATTATTGCAGATGCTTTTCAAATATTGTGTAATTTTATCAGTGCAGCCAGCTAAAAGAGAACATTCTGATACCAAAGTACACTTACAAAATACTCCATTTACAGAAATCAAAATGTTCATTAAATTGGACATATAACATACAATGGAAAGTAAATATTGAAAGCAATCACTGAAAGTCATGTAAAAAATCAATTTCCTCAAAGAATTGCTAACATAGGTATATCATACAATATCTAAGCTGTATTATGAAGATATATTGAATAAACTATCAATTTTTTTCTATGCTACTGTTAAACTTAAATAGAAGTCTGTATTTATTGTTTTTGCTTTCTTTTTTTCTCATTCACTTCTTAATTCTCCATAATCTACTCCTACCACACCACTTAGCCTGTTATTGTCAAAGACAACAATTGTAATATGTAATGGTCACCTTTTTTTGATTTTTTTTGTGTTTTACCCCTTCATTTCTTTACAGCGTTAATCATGTTCCTTGAAACCTCATCTTTGACTTTATGAAGCCATCTTCTAGTTTTCTTTCTTTCTCCCTGGGCCCCTTCTCAGTTACATTGGAGAATTCTTTATTTCCACTCTTAACCTGGGTATCCTAAGGTTCTACTTGTTGTACTCAACACTTGCTGATCTTAACTGGGATGACCTTAACCCATAACTATTTGTTAGTGACTCTAAATTTTTATCTCCAGACCAAATCTTTGTTGTGAGTTTCAATTCTATACCAACTGACTTCTGGAGGCTGTTGTTCTCACATTCAATAGGCACCTCAAACAGTATTTCCAAAGTAAAATAATCATTTACCTCTTCTTTTAAACTTGCTTCATTTACTGTATTTGCTATCTTTGTGAACAGCTCTATCATCTACACCAGGCGTCCTGCAGGCCACATGCAGGTGGATTTTGCCCATTTGTTTTTTTTTACTTCAAAATAAGATTATGTGCAGTGTGCATAGAATTTGTTCATAGTTTTTTATAGACTATAGTCCGGCCCTCCAGCAGTCTGAGGGACAGTGAACTGGCCTCCTGTTTAAAAAGTTTGAGGACCCCTGATCTACAGAGTCTCCCAAGGCTTGACTTTATCCTCGTTTTAAACATCCAATTCATCTTTCAGCCTTTAAATCCTATGGATGAAACCTATTTAATCTCCAATATCTTTCTCTACACACATGGGGTACACCCGTAATTCAGGTCTTCCTCAATCACCCAGCTGACAACCATCCAAAACAAAATCACATTTCCATACAAAAGAAGTCTCCTCGCTATATTCTCTAGCTCAAATACTGTCATTACAATTTACTTCATTCATCACTCAGACTAGAAATCTTGGTGTAGCCTTCAATCCCTTTCTAATTAATTTTCAGGTACCAACAATGTTATCACATTTAAAAATTTTTTAAATCCATCTTCTTCACAAATTTCACTGCCACTAATGCTCCCGTCCATGCCCTTGTCGTTGATTGCCTGCAAAATCTGTTTTCCAATTAGTATCCCTGCCTCCTCCTGTCCTGTTTTCCTCAAATCCATTCTGCATGTAGTAGCCAGAGTGATCTATTTAAATTGAAAATTTGACAATATTACTTCCCAAATTAAAACATTTCCATTTTTTTTTCCATTGCCAACGGGAAAGGACTCTCAACACCCTTCTGCTATGACTTACAAAGTCTTTTCTTGCCCTGAATCCTGCTCACCTCTTCGGCATATTCTTTGCCATTATTTCTCTTAGGATTTAGGTTAAAACCACAGCAACCAGTTTGCATCTGTCTGCATTCACTATGCTGTTTTCTTTCCTTAGGATTTGCTTCTGCTACTTCTTTCCCTTTAAATTCCCTTTCTTAGAAATGTCCTTCTTCCAGACTTCTCTACTGCCTACATCCTATCCATGACATCACCTCCCACGAGAAATGTCTCTGGAGTATCCAGATTAAGACGGGGCTTACCCAGCTGTGCTGCTGTACCAACTTGTAAAGAGCTCTACTTTGCAACGGCCACAGATCTTAATGGCCTGTGGATTTTAGTCCATTGGAATGTCAGCTTTTAGAGGGACGTGTTAAGCTATTATTACAGTAACAGAGGAGGCAACATTTCAGATAATATTAGTAAAAAGAAAACTACTTTTAGCTTTTTATAAAGCAATGGATTATTAATTATTTCAATATTCTACATTTAAATAAAAGCATAAGACATCAGACTCTGGTATAAATATTCTGTTTAATTAATTAGATTTTCATTTAAAAACTTTTTTATGTTATAAATGCTATTAAAATCTCTAAAATGAACAGAACTAAACATACATAAGAAACTAAAAATTATAACCCTAATATCTAGAGGTAATTGATGTTATTATTTTGGTTTATGTTTGTACTACTAACAATATTGTTTTACTTGGCTAAAATAGATTGTCACCACCGTTTTATATCATTTTTTGTTCCACTTACAAAATTAATCCTAGGCATTTTCTTCTTTAAAAAAATACATTTTGTTTATTTGAAGCAGGAAGTTGAGAAATAGGAATCAGAAATGATATTTTACCCTAATATGTTCCATTTTGTTGTTTTGCTAATTTTATTTTAAGATATGCCTTTATTCTTATTTTATGGATGAGTGGATGAATGAATCTATATTTACCAAGTTCCTAACATACACTAGGCTCTATCTAATCAGCTTTCACATGCACTACCTTATTAAATAAAATGAATTCAAGCTACTTCTCCAGTCATATCTTGACAAGATTTCACAAATAAAGTTCTATTACAAAAAGATAAAATTAAGATTATCCCAGAGTAACAGAGTGATCTTATTATCATATACATATCCCAATATTCTCTTTAAGACTTTCCCAGTTGGGCAAAAACATCCTTTGAAATCATGTAGAAATGACTTTAATATATACTTAAATGCTTTTTAAAATGTAAGTTATATATAACATAATTATATTATAGTCACTATAACAAATAGATTATATTAATAGTAATGTTGAACTTTTATATTAATAATACCTATTCTTTATTGAATTTTCATTATATCTTGAGAACATTCTCATATACTACATTTTCATGTGGTATTTATTGAGTTTCTATTATACGTTTGGCTCATTTCACCAGTGAGCAACTTGAACACTAAAGAGGTTTATACACAAGGTCAATTAGGAAGCCATTTTAGAAATCCAATTTATTAATGGCAAATATTTATGAGAAATCACTATATACCATGCACTGTGCTTAAGACAAATGGATCATTTAATCTTTACAATAAATTTCTAAAGTAAAAATAATATCTCTTTACATGATGTTGAAGCTTAGTAAAGTAGAAGATTAGCTTGTCAAAGATCACTCAATTAGGATATGATGTACCTGAGATTAAATCCAAAGTTCATTTGACTCTAAATTTCATGGAAAGGTAAAATCCCTATATTCCTGGAAGTGGATCCAGTCCTCCAGAATGAGAAGACAAATGATGCCATCCCAATGCAGGCTTTACTCTTTAGGTTGTTAAGAAACCAAACTTTAAAAACAGCATTAGAGCTTTATAAAATTGTGTTTATGGATTTTGTGAAAATATAATTCTAAATACTAAATTCTTCAAAATATTTGCAACTCCCTAAAGCAGATTTTTTTTACCTCATAATAAATAGTCCTGAAAAAATTAATCTGGGTCATGAAAATGTTTGTTAAAAATTGGCTGGGCGCGGTGGCTCACGCCTGTAATCCTAGCACTTTGGGAGGCCGAGGCGGGCGGATCGCTCAAGGTCAGGAGTTCGAAACCAGCCTGAGCGAGACCCCGTCTCTACCAAAAATAGAAAGAAATTAATTGACCAACTAAAAATATATATACAAAAAAAATTAGCTGGGCATGGTGGCGCATGCCTGTAGTCCCAGCTACTCGGGAGGCTGAGGCAGGAGGATCGCTGAGCCCAGGAGATTGAGGTTGCTGTGAGCCAGGCTGACGCCACGGCACTCACTCTAGCCTGGACAACAAAGCGAGACTCTGTCTCAAAAAAAAATATATATATATATAATTTACTATATAATTCCAGTAAAATTAAAAGACAAAATGATAAAAATAAAAAAACGAACAAAACAAAAATAAACAAAAATAAATTTAAAAAATAAACAAAAAAACATAACTGCAAACTCAATGTTTGAAATTTTTTTAGCTAATGCCATATTTCATGTGAATGGTGGTAGTGGTTGTGATTTTTATTCACTAGTCTTAAAAGATTCTCACATAAGTTATGATGGTTTCATTATTAAATATATATATAATTTTTTTTTACTGGCAGAAGATGTTTGCAACATATACAACTAACAATGGAAATCTATGTATCTATACATACATACATAGATAGCACATGTGTGCCAAGATACCACTATGAGCCTTTTTATACATGTATTAATGTTTAAAATCTGGGATGACCACAATGTCCATGAACACTTGAATAGATAAGTAAATGATGGCATGTATTAGACAATTATGAATATTAGTCAATTATGAAAATAAGTGGACTAAAGCTACTTACAACAAGGTGGATGATTTCTGCAACAATGTTGAGTAGAAGCAAGCCTCAAAAAATATGTGCAATGCTGTTATATATATTTAGTGTTCAAATAGGATTTCATTTTTTAAAATTTTACTTCTCTTTGATAAAAAAAAAATGAAGATCCAAAAAGAAATCCCAAGGATAAATAAAAACACATTATTATCAACCTTTTCATTGCAACGAGTAATAAGAAGTTAAAGACATGAATTCTATTGAGCACTTAATGGTCAACTAATAATTCAGAAATTATGTTTTAAAGTAGCATAAAAGATTTTATGGACTTGTAAATATAAACCTGACAAAGAGAAAAAGTAGCTTCTGACATCTAAGAGGTAGCCTGGTACTATCACCTGGGTCTTGGTATTCCATAGAATATCAATATCAGATAAAGCCATTCTGTGATCATAATAAATCAAGACAAAAACAAGACTATTTCATAATGTCTGAACTCAGAGACAAGAACATTGTCCAAAAAAAAAAAAAATGAAACAGAAAAAACCACCACCACCTATTTTGGCCAATGAATGACTGCTACTTCTCTAACAGTTAATTACAGCTTTAGCCTCACTTCATTGCTCGTCTTCTAGATAGGATTAAGATATCCATTCAGAGCATTATCCCAGATTTCTGACAGTATCCAATTCAGAGAAAGGACCCAGTTACTTCAATGCTCCCCTAAATCATCTAGCACAAGCCAAAATATTATAATGCATCCTTTTAAACAATCTCTTACAAAGCAGCCCATGGTTTTCCATGGCATATGCTCTTCTTCCTGCTAAGCAGTAATGAACCCATCTGCAGATGTATATTCCTGGTGATCTTTGCCTGAAGGGCAATGATAAATCAACAATATTCAAAAGCCACTGAATTGTTATATTAATCCTATTTAAAAACTGTTTGTAATGGGCAGTGGATAATTGGCCAAAATCACAATGCAGTGAAAGCTGATTATTCATAATTGTTGAGTCTTTAGAATAAAAATAAGCTCATCAAATACATTTCAGTCCTGCTGATGTGACTTTTACCACTAAGTCTGCTAAAATCCTTATTTGCACTTGACTATTTCACATATTTGATTATTTTTACTCTCTTGCCTTTCAGATCTACTCATTTAAAATCTTTAAAATAATATTGTAAAAATATTTTTCTTCTTTTTGCCCTGGTTAAAACAATGTGATTTCCTTCACTGACTTCCTTATGCTATAAAACTGTGTATGTTACTTTTAAAAACTGTGTATCATTTTAGATGCCTGTATTTTTTCCACTTCTACTTATTTATCTTTTGTTATAGTCCATCAATTTATTCCTTTTTTTACTAAAAGTCCATCTATTCTTTTTTTTTTTTTTGAGTCAGAGCCTCGCTTTGTTGCCCAGGCTAGAGTGAGTGCCATGGCGTCAGCCTAGCTCACAGCAACCTCAAACTCCTGGTCTCAAGTGATCCTCCTGCCTCAGCCTCCCGAGTAGCTGGGACTACAGGCATGCACCACCATGCCCAGCTAATTTTTTCTATATATATTAGTTGGCCAATTAATTTATTTCTATTTATAGTAGAGATGGGGTCTCTCTCTTGCTCAATCTGGTTTCGAACTCCTGACCTTGAGCAACCCATCCACCTCAGCCTCCCAGAGTGCTAAGATTATAGGCATGAGCCACCGCTCCCGGCCTAAAAGTCCATCTATACCTAGGAAACTCTTCAGTTATCTGGATAGAATGTACTAGTGATAGATCTCTCAAATCCTTAAATGCTAACCTCTGTGTTAGTTTTCAGGGTTTTTTTCTTTTTCTTTTTTTGAGACAGAGTCTCACTCTGTTGCCCGGGCTACAGTGCCGTGGCATCAGCCTAGCTCACAGCAACCTCCAACTCCTGGACTCAAGCGATCCTCCTGCCTCAGCCTCCTGAGTAGCTGGGACTATAGGCATGCACCACCCATGTCCGGCTAATTTTTTCTATATATTTTTGGTGGTCCAGCTAATTTCTTTCTATTTGTAGTAGAGATGGAGTCTCACTCTTGGCTCAGGCTGGTCTCCAACTCCTGACCTCAAACAATCCTCCCGTTTCAGCCTCCCAGAGTGCTAGGATTACAAGCATGAGCCACTGTGCCCAGCCTCTGTGTTAGCTTTCTATTGCTACTGTAACAAATTACCACAAATTCAGAGCCTTAAAACAACACACATTTATTCTTTTACAGTTCTGGAGGTCAGAGTTCTCATGTGAGTTTTTCAGAGCTAAAATCAAGATGCTGGCAGAGCTGGTTCCTTCTGGAGGCTGTAAGGGGAGAATGTTTCTTGCCTTTTTCTAGAGACTGTCATTCCTTATTTTGTCATCCTGCATCCCATGTCCTGTTCTCCCCTTGCTTTTGTTGTCACATTGCCTTCTTCCTCCTTTGACCTGCTTTCCTCTCTCTTATAAAGACCCTTGTAGCTACATTTAGAACCTATCCAAAGAAATCCAGAATAATCTTCCCATCTCAAAATTCTTAATTTAATGACACCTGTAAAATCCCTTTTGCTGTATAAGGTAATAGTCACAGATCCTGAGGATTAGTGACAGATTCATAGACATTTTTGGGTGGGGTTTGGTCATTATTCAGCCTATGACAATCTCTATGGTAGTTCTTTAAAAAATGCCTTTTTGCCATTATTTTTATCATTCCTTCATTTTTCCTTTTTGAACACTTGCAACATTGTGGATGAAGGGCATTTTAAACACAAAACTACTTCATTACTTTCTAACCTAAAGAAAATGTTAACAAGAAAGATAAAATTGTAGCGGGTAACTTGGCTTATGCTTTTATTTTATGATAGTCCAAGAAATGGATATTATCAATCCCCCAATAAAGTGGGTAAGAAGGTAAAAGCTGGGCATGTTGAACAATATTTCATTTCTTCTTTGGACTTTCAAGTGTAGTTTTATTTATATGATTGATATGAGTGCCTAAAAATTTCAGGCAACGTCTCAATCATTGGTGATTAAAAAGACACAAAGCGAAGACAAAGGTAAATGAATCTCAGTTGATTGTCTTTTGGCTTAACTGTGGCACTATTTTTGCATATATTTAGGAATTAATTCTGAGCATCTTCTTTTCCCTAGTCATGAAACAACCTGTTTTTCTTTAAAAATAATGCTTGATCTTTAGCCCCTTTAAAGATATTTTTTTCAGATAATCCATCTTGTATTGTGAACTTCTCTTGAGGTTACTTATTATATGCTGATTTTGAGAAAAATATGCTGATTCTGAGAAAAATATATTAAACTCAGTCCATGATGTGATTTGTCTTTATTCTGAAGATGATTTTTCATTCTTCTTTTGTGTGTGTGTGTGTGTGTCTTTCTTTTAGATATGTCTATCAATGTAATATACATTGCAAACTTTACTGGGTAGACATGTAACACAGAGCTCAATGCAAGAGCAAACCATAATTTAACATTAGTAAAAGATTAGTAATTCAAATGTTAATATCATGCAAATGTCATTTTTTCTACAACAGAGAATTTCAAGATACTAAGTCATGGAGTACTTAAGCAATAGAATGTGACCTGGATACTTACCCTCAACAACAAAATGAGTAACAATACCAATTGTAATTCCTATGATTGCTACAATCACCAGTGTGAAAAGAGCTAGCCTTATAGGGTCCCAAAATTGCTGTCTTCTTTGATATTCCACTCGTGGGTATTCAGCTTCTGAAAATTCAACTGGTCTGTGATAATAGAAAGAAAGAAAACAATAAGACAATAAAAAATTCACTATGATTCTACTTTTTGCTTACTTACTATGTTCCTCTATGCAAATAATTTATGCTGCTAAATAATAATGGGGAACTTATCTTGAAAAGAACACTAGATTTAATTTGCATACTTTCTCTCAACACCTCAATCACAGTAAAAGTTTTAGTTAAAGTTCTACTGATGCTGACATTCAAGTGAACGTATCTTCCCACTACTTGGTCTGGCATACTGGCAATTTGAAATTTTGGTAGTGAAATACAAAGAATTGCTTTTAAAAAGGTAAATTATGATTAACACTTCATGTCATTTAAATAAGGGAGCTTTTAGCAACAAAGTTATACAATATTCTCACCAGTTTTACTTGATTAAAAATATTTTAATATGACTATATTTAAAATGATCTTAAAAATTTCTTAATGGCTTACTTTAAAAATAGCAATATTACTTTTGAAGACCTGATCATGGTTCTTTGCATTTTATTACCACCTCCGGGTGAAATCACAAAATGTGCATTATACTTAATAAGACTGCAGTCAGTGCCATTAAACTCTTACTTGTCCCCACTGGTACAGTCCCTCCACTTCCCTAAATATCTTATGCCATTTAGATTATCTTTCTCCAACTTGAAACTTGCCTTTTTTTTTTTTTTTTTTTTGAGATAGAGCCTCACTCTGTTGCCAGGGCTAGAGTGAGTACCGTGGCATCAGCCTAGCTCACAGCAACCTCAAACTCCTGGGCTCAAGTGATCCTCCTGCCTCAGCCTCCCAAGAAGTAACTGGGACTACAGGCATGCGCCACCATGCCCAGCTAATTTTTTATATATATCTTTTTAGTTGGCCAATTTTTTTTTATTTTTAGTAAAGACAGGGTCTCACTCTTGCTCAGGCTGGTTTCGAACTCCTGACCTTGAGCAATCCTCCCGCCTCGGCCTCCCAGAGAGCTAGGATTACAGGTATGAGCCACTGTGCCTGGCTGAAGCTTGCCGTTTTTAATTTTCTGAATCCCCAAAGATGATTCAATATTGGAATATCTTGCAAGTGAAACTTGTTGTAAAAACGCTTATGTTTTTAATTTTTAAAATATACATTTATTATAAACTTGTTTCATTAAATGAGATAATGGAAAGTCCTTATACTAGTACTGACCACATTAAAATAATGTTTTAGAAACTGTTCCGATCCCTAGATGTATAAAGATTTTAAGATATACTCTGCCTTTATGTTCATACTTTAAAAGGGAAGACAGACATGGAAACAAGCAATTATTATTTAGCATGAACTGTACCAAAGTAAGTTTGTACAAGGAGAGAGAGAAATTAAATTTTTGGAGGATTCTGTTAGGAAATCTTATTAAGAAGGTGATATGATTAAAACTTAGAGGAATAAAAGTTCACCAGGTGGAATAAAAGACACAAGAACAGAGAAAATAGCAGGTGGGCAGGGGGAAGGGGGCAGGGATGTGTAACAGTGTTCGTTACTAATACTTAGTATTGGGAATAAAGATATAATTAAAGCATTGCTTCAGGGAGGGAGGAGGAGGAGATGGGTATATACAACTACAATGAGTAAGATGTGCAACGTTTGGGGTACGGACACGCTGAAGCTCTTACTCGAGGGGGAAGGGGAGCATGGACAATATAGGTAACCTTAAATTTTGTACCCCCATAATATGCTAAAATAAATTTTTTTAAAAAAGCATTGCTTTTGCCCTCAAAAAAATGTATGATCTGTAAAATCTGGCCAAGATTGCAAGTTTTTTCCAGCCCTGCAATCCTGGGAAGAGGGTATGGCAGAGCAGGTGGGCTGAGAGCAGCTCAGGAGGGAGTCTCATAACCCAAAGTAAAGAGTTGGAGATTTACTCTGCAGGAGGCAGGGAGCCAGTGAAAATTTTGATCACTGAGAATTTAGAATAATCACACAGAGGTGAAAGAGGATGGGGACTAGGGTGAGAGTGCGGACCTGCAGACCAGTTTAGGGGTCCCTACTGAAGGTCCAAGAGAGAAATGGTGAGGGTCTGGGCTGTGGCTCTCGTGGAGAGAAGAAAATGGCTCCAATTCTTGAGCTTTGGTGAGTGATTGATCAGCTGTGGGACAAGGAAAGGATCAATGGCTCTACTCATCTGGAAGAAGATTTAAAAAAATATTTCCAACAAAGACCTCAGGATTATTAATAAAAGACAATTTGCTGCCTTACACTTGGGTCTAAGCCAGATGTAAAGTATGTGTCTTATGCCCTCTTTAACTCATTTTATTTTAGTTGTGTCACTAATACTTTACGTGATTCTAATAAAAGCAACTGTTAAGGTTAGAACTACAGAACCCAGGGGGTGGAAAAAAAATCAAGAAAATTACTGTGTCCTCATTTGTAATGCCTTCCTTCTAACCCATAACTGAAGTCTCTATTTCCAAAATCTGTGGCAATAGTCTAGATTATTTAGTTTGTAGATATTGTGACTGCTGCAATTATTTTTTATTATTCTTTTCCCCCTAGTCTTGTAAATTTCATTGCTGCATGCTGAACCCTTCAAGAAGCAAGAAATGATAAGAATCAAATTTTACGAAATTTCTGAGATGACAGCCAAGTATCACATCATGGTAACACTGTGTCATTGTAAAGCAGACTTTTTTTTTTTTTTTATCATGGTCATATTTATTTTTAAAATGAGTTTCTTCAGTCTGGTGATTAGCGATTTTTTGGTCTGATGTAACTAGGATGTTGACTTCTCTCCCAGGAAAATTGAAACAAGATTTGCCAAAGACCTATATCTGTGTTTTGAAGTGTACCTGGCGGGAACAGTATGAAGACACCAGGCAATTGCAATGCGGGTAAACACGCGCGTTGGAGAAAATAAGGTCATAAAAACCCAACAAAGTATTCAGAAAATTGTGAAGACATTTGTTGGTTAGGCTGTTGCTGAAAGCTTTTCATGAGCATGGGAAACAAAACAAAACACACTCAAGCCATTCTTAAGTGTGCAATAAACTTTGAAAACTTAGCTATGATGAGTTGGGTATATTTCTAAATGTATAAAGAGTTCAAGGTTTGAAAAAATGGTTTTATTTTGATGAAATTTAAAATCCCTAAAGCCTTTAAATATTCCTAAATGTTTCTCCTTATTTCTACATGACAATTATTTGGTCCTTTAAATCTAAATATAAGTTGGAGGCTAAATGGAACATTTTAACAGCCTTTTCTTTAAAAAAAAAAAAAAGAAATTTTATTGTGTATATCTACAGTCTTCATGATGTACTTTAGATCTCTAGACCTGTTCATCTTACGTATCTGCAACTTTGTATCCTCTGACCTATATCTCCCCATTTCGTCCTCCCCATAACCCCCTTTTTGTTCTCTGTATATATGAATTTTTTAATATGCCACATATAAGTGAGATCATACAATATTTTTCCTTCTGTATCTGACTTATTCCACTTAGCATAACAGGTTCCAGGTTCACCCATGTGTGGCAAATGGCGAGATCTTGTTCTTTGTTAGGGCTGGATAACATTCCATTGTATATATGGAGCATGGTTTCCTTATCCACTCAACTGTTGGTGGACACTTAGGTTGTTTCCACAGCATAGCTATTGTGAATATGGGAACACAGATATTTTTACCAGGTGGTAGATTCATTTCCTTTGTGTATACATCCAGAAGAGGGATTCCTGGGCCATAGGATAGTTTTATTTTTAATTTCAATTTATTTTAATTTATTCTCCATGCTGATTTCCATAACAGTGATACCAATCTACATTCCCACCCACAGTGTACTAGGGTTCCCTTTTCTCCATATTTTGCCAAAATATACCTCCCAATATATATATATATTTTGAGACAGAGTCTCACTTTGTTGCCCAGGCTAGAGGTGCCATGGCGTCAGCCTAGCTCACAGCAACCTCAGACTCCTGGGCTCAAGCAATCCTGCTGCCTCAGCCTCCCAAGTAGCTGGGACTACAGGCATGTGCCACCATGCCCGAATAATTTTTTCTATATATTTTAGTTGGTCAATTAATTTCTTTCTATTTATGGTAGAGACGGGGTCTCGCTCTTGCTCAGGCTGGTTTTGAACTCCTGACCTTGAGCAATCCACCCGCCTCGGCCTCCTAGAGTGCTAGGATTACAGGCGTGAGCCACCACGCCTGGCCACCTCCCAATATTTTGATAATAGCCATCCTAACAGGTATGAGGTGGTATCTCATGGTGATTTTGATTTGCAGTTTCCTGATGATTAATGAACTTGAGCACCTTTTCATATACCTGTTGGCCATTTCTATGTCTTCTTTAGAGAAATGTCTATTTGGGTCTTCGCACATTTTTAAAATCAGGTTATGCTACTATTGAGTTATATAAGTTCTTTATAAATTTTGGATATTAACCCGTTAACCACTATATTGTTTCCAAACATTTTTTCTTAATCACTAGGCTGCCTTTTCATTTTATTATTTCCTTTGCTGTGCTAAAAGCTCTTTAGTTTGATGTTGTCATATTGATTTTTCCTTCTGTGTCCTGAGCTTTTGGTGTGATATCCAAAAAATCATTGCCAAGGCAACTGCCAATTGCCAATGTCTAGGAGATTTTCCCTATATTCTCTTCTAAGAGTTTTATATTAATAGTTTTGGTCTTATATTTAGGTGATTTATTTTGAGTTGATTTTTGTATATGGTGTAAAATAAGGGTTTAATTTTATTCTTTTGCATGTGGAAATCTAGTTTTCCCAGCAACATTAATTGAACAAACTATTCTTTCCAAATTGTGTCCCTGGCATCCTTGTCAAAAATTAGTTGACCATATATGTTTGCATTTATTTCTCAGTTCTCTACTATATTCCATTGATCTATGTATCTGTTTTTATGCCAGTACCATACTATTTTGATTTTCATAGCTTTATAATATAGTTTAAAATCAGGAAGTATGATGCCTCTAGTTCTGTTTTTCTCAGAATTATTTTGGCCATTCATGATCTTTTATGGTTCCAT